ACAACTCTTTTCTGGCTCCAAACTTACCCTGTTGATATCCAAGATTCTCAAGAAAGGCATCCTCGCATATATCCACGGGAGTGGCGTGATTCTGTATGACGACGGGTTGTTTCATCTTTTCTCTTCGAAAGAAAAAGCAGCGAACTTCGCCTACAAAGCTAGGAAATTGTGTCGAAAAAGTCCGCTAACCAGCAGCTATTTAAGCCTCGTGGAGCATTAGGACCGCGAGTACTAGAAGCGTGCGGGATTCAATGATAGAAGTGCGAATAGATAAGCCATGTTCGCAGATGTATGGTATACGTCCTTGTTTATCACCGACGACGTAGAAAGAAGCCTGAAGCTGTCCAAGATAACGCCGGAACCAGTAGTCCTGAAGATAAGTACCAGTCAAACAAGATCAAGACATATCAAGACAGCTGAAGTGGATGCTTTAACTATCGATCGATGTTGGGACAAAAAAAAGCATCATGCGGTTGATATTACAGTTATTCGAAAGCTACATCCACAGCTGTAGGGTTAACGAGTTGATTGTGAGCAAGAACCCGTGATCGACTAAAAACAAACTGACCTAAAAAGCAGATGATAAAAGTGAAGGATAAAATAAAATAAAGTTAACAACAGCTCGTTGATGCTTGTTGGGCGTTTTAATCGGTATCCTCCCCACCGCTTTCGTTCTCTTCAGCCATTGCAGTCTTCCAAACTGCATACATCTTTCTGCGATTTGTCTCTCTCGCGTTTGGACCGCTCGCAATGTCAAACATCTTTCGCAAAAGCGCCTTCCTCACCTGACTCTTCTCCACCTTCCCTTCCTTCGGGGTTTCCAAACAGGCATTGGCCGCAATGTTATCAAAAGCCGGTTCGCTCAACAATTTCGGGCGCTTCTTAGCGTGAGTCTCAGCGGGGAAAGAGGGTGGAGGTTTAAGAGCAAGGAAAAGCGGTTCGAGCAATTCGCCATAGATACGTTGGTAAGTCACGTTTGAATTTGTTAGGGCAGCGAGATTAAGGAAAGGGTCGAGCAGAAGAGAGAGAGGTGCAGGAGGTGGGTTAGAGTCAGGTGAAGAGGCGAGAGACTTGTCGAGTTCCGTAAGGTAGACGTCTGCAAGGTGATACGATAAACTGGTTGGAACCCTGTTATCTTCGGGGCTAGCAGGAGACATTGTTATTCGTCATGTCTACACAATAAAAAAGGAACATACCACAGCGGACCGCCTTTGCAAGTCAAAATATCATTGTACTCTTCCAGTGCATTTTTGTCCCATTCAGCTCGCACCAGTAACCTGAAGCTCGCATTCACGAACTTGCGCACGAGCATATAATATTTGTCCATACTGAACATGAGAGAGAGAGAGGATTTTAAGCACAGAAGAACAGGAGCGCCGAGCAGAGCTAACCAACACACCGTAGACGGTCGATGCCATTCCACTCGCGTACAATCGCCTCCCAGAAACCCTTCAAAAAGACCAGTGACGCGTTGGTGGAAGAAATGGTTAAGAGGAGTTCGGCAAGTTCGCTGGAAAGAGCCTGCTGCACGAGAGGCTTGTCGGACATCCAATAGCCTGTACAAAAATGAGTACACTGGGCAGAGATATATACAGAATAGGAGACAGACAGTAAAATATGCCCTTCCAAAGTTTTGCCATCTCCGACTTGGGCAGCGCATTCTGGTCAGGCGTTGAAAGGAAAGCGGCTAGACTCTTGACGGCCTTGTCACGCGTTCTTTTGTCTGTTCTAGTTAGCGAAGAATGTAGACCAGATCTTAGCGGAAACATACCCGTCGACGCTAGATATTTATTGAGGGGCAGCGACGACGAGGACTGGTCGTCGGGGGACATGGTCATGGTCGCTGGAAAAGAAAATCAAGTCGGGATCGACCTTCCCATATTGGACTCGGAGGTGGTCACGGACCGTAAACGCGTAAACTGCTGCTTCGGCTTCCGTTCCAACTGTCACTCGGGCGTGCTCTCCTCCGATGGCCGCCAGGTCAAGTAGTCGCATTTCGACATCTTCATCGGATCCCGCCAAACGAGCAACATGGAAGCTGTCTGACTTTGGAAATGCCCGTTCTGCTAGCTGGGCCAAGGATTTCTTTAAATGCAGAGGCATCGGAGCGAGCTATGATGTCCAATAACCCGACCCACAGCCAACCCCGTCTCCGGATCTCTGCTAGCTATGTCGACTTTTGAAAGAACGCCTCTTCTTTCGGACACTGACAACTATGATTCTGCGAAGACGCTTAACGAGGTCGATTCACCCACGCTCATGAGCTTTGACTCTGTCAGTCCTAACCTCTCAGGATCGGGGGTCTATCGAGATGCGTCAAAACGCAACTGGGTGCCCGACCCCGACTCAAAGGAGGAGGCCCATCGCGCTCGAACACTCGTCCTATGCTTCGACGGTACTGGCGACCAATTTGACGATGATGTGCGTTTCTCTTCTTCGGGTTTCCCCAGTGCCCCGAATGCGTGCTGATATCTCTCGCGCATGACAGAACTCCAACGTTATCGAATTTCTTTCGTGCCTCAAGAAGGACGATCAAAAGCACCAGCTCGTCTACTACCAGGCCGGTATCGGAACCTACACGAAATCTTCCTTCGTGACGCCACTCTCCAATAAAGTGTCCAAGACTCTGGATGAAATGTTCGCATGGAACCTGGATTCACATGTTCAAAGTTTGTTCTGAACTTAGCTTCCTACGACCACGCCTCTAACCTACATCTTTAGGCGGATATGAATTTCTCATGCAGAATTGTAGGTTTTTGGTATAGTCTAGCATATTTCCTTTTCTAACATACATTCAGACACTGCCGGTGACAAAATAGCGATATTCGGTTTCTCTCGTGGTGCCTACACGGCCCGTGCTCTTGCTGGAATGGTGCAGAAAGTTGGCCTTTTACCTACATACAACCACGCGCAGGTCCCATTCGCGTGGGCGATGTACATCCGCGAGGACAAGGATGGTCTTAACAACAGTGTGTTATTCAAGAAGACGTTCTCTGTAGACGTCGCTATTGATTTCGTCGGAGTTTGGTGAGAGCCGCCATCATTATTCCAATGTGATACAGACCGTTCAGTTCTAATGTCTTTCATTTATAGGGACACCGTAGCTTCCGTCGGAATGACAAACAAAGAGCTACCTTTTGTCGGCGGCAATGCAGCTATCCGTGTTTTTAGGCACGCAATGGCACTCGACGAACATCGTGCCAAGTTTATACCGAATTTCTATCAAGCTTCGCCAAACGCAAACCCCCTCTCTGCCAAGACATTTGGCACTGACTCTATTAAGGACGCGGCTATATCCTCCTCAGCCATGCCTCTTAAACCTCCAAAGAATGGGAAGAAAGCGAAGAAAATGCACGCACACCGGTCCGAAAGCCAGATGTGGGAGGATGCCGTGAACTCTGCGAGCGGACAGTCGACGGACGTTCTGGAAGTTTGGTTCGCAGGTTGTCACTGCGACGTCGGAGGTGGTTCTGTTCGCAATGGAACACGCAACGCCCTAGCACGTATCCCTCTGCGTTGGATGATCCGCGAATGCTTCCGCACAGAGACGGGCGTTATTTTCGATAAGGATCTGCTCAAGGCGAACATCGGGCTGGATGCAGACACGCTCTATCCGGTTGTGCTGCAACGTCCTTCGCGCAAGCCTGCACCTATCGGGGCGAAGATTGAGCAGATGGAAGCGCAGGGTTTAGGGATTGCTTCGTTCTTTTCGGTCATCGGAAGTCTCCTGGCGATTCCTATCAAGTTTGTGTTTGGCGTCGTAACATGGCCTTTCCATCATTTCTGGCTTCTCATTAAATTTACGAAAGCCGCGAAGTGGGTCCGCAAGCTATTCGCCCGGAAGCCTGCGATCAAAGCCGGCACAGATCCTGCTGCGGTCGCCGAGTCTCTATTTTTGACGGCGACCAGTGTGCGGACGAGCGATTTCAAGTCGGAGGAGGACGAGGAACTTGCAGACGCACTGTCGGCCGAGTACGATCAGCTCGCAGCTCGCTGGTTCTGGTGGATAATCGAGTTCCTTCCACTTCGTTTCCGCGAGCAAAAGGGAAAGCGCGACGACTACTTCGTTCGTGCGAATATGGGTCAAGGCCGTAAGATCTACGGCGACGCAAGGAAGAGCGGTATCAAGATCCATCGCTCAGTGAAGACACGTCTCGAGGTTCTTGACCACAGTGGGAAGAACGTCTATCAGCCGCGCGCATGGTTTAAGGTACGTGATCCATCGAGCAAGAAGAAAGAGGTTGGTCCGAAGAGCTGGTGCGTTGAACAACCCGATACCCGTACGCATTGGGAGTGGGTCGAGTGATCTGTGCTTATTCGGTAGTTGCGATGGGTTGAATCACTTAAATTAATATGTCTCTACAAATGTTTGCTTCTTGTCTCCGCTCTTTGAGATACAGTAATCTTTTTGGAATTGCCCGTGTTACATGCGTGTAATTGGTAATCTATAAGTGATTTGTCCTTCTGAGTGTTGAAGTCCGACGGAAATTAAAAAGATAATGAATCTACTGCACGCAATTTTATTGTTATAAAACCAGAGAACCTCCCAAGATTAGAAGCAGAAGAAGGTTTGCAGACAGATCGCTAGTCTAAGCTTTGTCAGAGACTCAGAAACTCGTTGGATTGGAGAGTATAGACAACGTATAAATGAAGGTCACCAACTTTTTAGCTAGTGATTTAAGTTGGACAGAACTAACAACTACAGCTGAAGTCTACATAAGATTATCGACGACACCAGCATTTGATACGTCGCGATTCAGACGGATTGTCCAAACATGGTCAAGGACCTTCCGAATCCGGAAACATATTGCCTGCTGAAGATAGTATCCCGAGCAATATAAAGTAAATAATTCGTTTCAGATGAACCTTCCACTGATGAAGAGAGTTAAATATGTCTAGGCTTTGGGGGTGGCTGTCGCGATAAAGCCATTTTGGTGAGACCAACGTAATATGTACTTCAAAGTAAGATATAATTAGAACACCCTTTCTGTATTCTGCATGCCGCAATAGCTCAGCTGGGAGAGCAGTAGACTGAAGAGGATGGCATACACCCTGTGTTCTAAAGGTCCCCCGTTCGATCCGGGGTTGTGGCATTGTTTTTTGTCTTTTTTTAAATAGTTTTTGATCACTTTTTGTCTAAGTTTCAAGCGCTTAGCGTCTGGTCGACTATTTGTGGCTGGCAACGGAGACAGATCAAGCGAGTTTAAGCTGATCTCGGGCTGAATTGAAATATGTCTTAGTGATTCATGAGCATTGTTTCGAAGTTTCATCAGTTTTTCTTCGCTCATTATTCAAGTTCCTTCTTTTTTTCTTTCTTTTTTCCTTCACGCTTAAAGTGAGACTTTTCTGGAATGCGCTGCGCCCATCTCAAGCAAAGTCATATTTTCAAAAATGCCATTATAGTACAGGTATGTAGTCCGATCCTTTCAGAGCGGCGAAATGGGCCGTTTTAAAAACGGCGGGATCGTCTGAAGACAAGTCGTGTCTTTGGAACTATAGTCCATGTGTCCGTCTTCTCCAAGAACTTGTCGTTCAGCTTACCGAAAAAGACGCGATTCAACAGACTTACATAAGTGCAAAAAACGTTTTTGACGAAATCTAATCATCATCGGCAGCGAACATCGCAAACGGACAGAAAGGCTGTCGATTTCGGTGAACGGAGTTCAAGTGGGGGGATTTACGTGAGTTCGAGGTGGTTGACCTTCACCCGTTCAGCTTCGGAAAAGCATCGATAACCACGATCGACGCCGCGAAGCCCTCAGACACAAGCGCGAGTGAGCGCAGCGGTAGAACACTTCGGATACATAGCAGAAAATATACCAAAAAGGGAGGAGATAGAGTACAGAATATGGCATATTTACATGCGTATGTAAAGGCCGGTACATCAATCTAATAGTCTGCATAATAAGGATAAGAGGACAGTCGTTTTTTGTTGCTGCTACAAGTCTGGCAGTTCCCTTTGAATCAGTCTCGTCCACGTACTCTCCTTCCACCAGCTTTCCAGTGACTCTAGCTCCTCCCATACATTATCCTCGTCCAAGTTGTAGATCTCGTACTTGCAGCTGCCAATATGATGCCCATTTCGCTTTGCGACTTCGAGAGCAGCTTTATTTTCCCCACTAGATTGCATGAGCGTTAGCAATCAATCTCAGTCGAACGAGTATTAGATTTATACTTGCCGGAGGAGGCCCAGAAGTTCATTTCGATCAGGAAAGAATAACCGCGGCTCCAGAGTCGCCAGTATTGCAAGTGCGGCGCGAAAAAGGAACGAGTCGCCTTCAAGGACTAGTACGTCCCATATCCGCGCACATGCTTCGAGGGGAAGATGGTCAAGAAGAATTGGCATGATCCAGTCCGGCAAATAGGCAGCTGGGGGAATCTGATGTTGTTTGAAATTAAAGTAAACTAAATAAAATAAAAATAAATGATAATCAACTATCGTTTTGGGAAAGACTGTAAAATACTGACTTTTCGGCATACAGTCCGCCAGTAAAGTATCAAAAATACTACAGTACCGATGAGTAGCGTTTCAATCTAGCGTATCAGTTGTGTTCTTACCGATAATACGCTTCGACCTAGAGAAGAGGTTTGATCAGAAAACCGATATTACAGTGGGCTACAGCTACTTGCATCATCCTTGGAAGACAGTCCACCATAAAAACAACGCATACAATGTCGCTCCAATAGGTTTCTCATCGATACGAATGCGGAGGAAGGCTGCATATTGAGGAGAAACATGGCTGCGATCTTGCTTGCTCCTACGACATATCCGAGGCCCTCGTCAGAACGAGAGACAACCCATGCGCATAGCATATCTTTCAGGTCCTGGTAAAGCGGACCAGAGGACGGGGTAAAAATCTGAAGGGTGGGTAATGTAGAACGGATGTCAACATCTATGAGGTTAAGCGTAGTCGTCGGAAATGTGCCAGATGCAAGTGCCCGAAGAGCTCGCGCCAAACACATTCTGTAGGTGTCTGGGAAATTATGCAAGTGAGTATTTTGTCGGTGTGAGAGCTGCAAGCCAAGTCTCTCGCACCTTTGCTTAAAGCCAATCCATTACCAACTGCTTTCTCCCATACAATTCCTCGCAGTTTCGGCGGAATACCATTCCACCATATTTTACGTATTTTCTCGTCACGAACAGCGTTCTTCCAATCTGGTAGAATATGTTGTTCCCAAAGAACGGTAGACTCTTCGACCGCGTGCTCTCTAGCCAGGCGACGTTCCGCCCTCAGCTTATTCTTTCGATCCTCTGCAAGGCTAATCGCTTCAGTTTCTGTGGCTAAATGACGACAGCAATACTAATTCAGTACTGTGCTCACCGGCTGCTCGACTCTGCTTCATCATAGTCTCCCAATCTGCCAAATGCTTCATATCCTCTTGTCTAGCTTTAGGAGGCAAGAATGTGGGCCGCGTCTTGGAAAGCACTTTTTCGAATGTACTTGGACCGGTGGATTTTGTTATACGATGCGATGGAGGTCGGGGGACCGAAGATTTTGCGGGAAGAGAGATGGATGCGGGAATAGCTGTCTTCGGAGGCGACGCTTCTCCGGGGCGTGCAGAAGACTCGGAGGCAGAAATATCAGAGTTTGACGGAGTGTTGGACAAAGTGTTTGAGAGTCCCGATGATGATCCAGAGGAGTTAGATAGCACAGTAATCTGAGGAGCAGGTGGCTTGGATACGTCTATCACAACCGAAGGAAATGCACGGTGCGCGCTAGTCGGGCTCGAGCTCGCATGGCGAGGAGAAGCGAGAGTTTCGTTGGATCTAACAGAGTTTTCTGAGGGCTGTGAGCTGCGGGAAGTTGGAGATGGCGGCAAGGACACGGATGCAGGATTCGCCGCACGCTCTTGGAGGGAGGGTGCATTGATGTCGATGGTAGAGACGGAGGAATCTGGATCCACAATCGAGGATTCCAACTGGATGTCTTCGAATTCGTTCTCGTTTCTTTCCGACCATGAATGGACAACCATATCCTTAGCTAGTTCATTACGGAAGGAGTCTGCTGTAAACTCGAAATTGTCTTCGCCACCGTCCGAGAAGGCGTCATCGACCGAGAAGTTGTGAGACCGTACACTCCCCTCAACGCTGTTGTTGGCACTCTCGAACGAGTCTTTGCGATATCGGTCAGTCATGATGCCAAGCGGGAAATGGCGAAATGCATGGACAGTGGACAGTAGAAACGTTCAGCCGCGGACTCGAGCCCGAAGCGATCGTCCGACGCGCGACGCGTCCGATGTTTGCTCATTCGTGGTCCCTGTCAGGTCCGACTCAACCCACGTCCACATAATTGCTTGTCTCTGTGCTTCAGGTTGAGCGCTTTACGCGTCTTTGGATCGGTACAACATGATAGCGGAGATTCTGCTCGTTCTGACCGGGCACTCTTCCTCGCTTTTTCCTGAAGACAGCAATATTCATCCAGACTTTGTCCCCCTCCTCCATCCTGGGGAGCGCCAGTGCTTGGAATCATTGGGCCTCATCGCCTTCCGCTATCGTACGATCAAAGCAGCTTGCTCCAGGCTATCTCAGTCTCCCTCCCGGTACATATGCGCGTTTTGCTCCAAACTTAACGAGATCCTCAAGGACGAATACGAATCTCTCGTTGTAGAGACCGAAGCCAAAATTCTTAACAGAGATGACGATTATGTCGGGCAAGGGTCTTTTGTCCCACTGAGCGCCATTCGTGCGACGTTTGCTGAGTGGGACAATCCTTTGGCAGCCCTCGAGTTTTTGATGTCGCGTCTCGAGGAAGCGCCATCTTGGCCAGCCGGATCTCTCGTTGATCTTCTTCTCGCTCGCTCGGAAACAGGAATACATCGCGTTTCATCCATTATGTCTAGGCTCGCCGAAGCAGTGCAGCGTATCTGGAGAACGCAGTTACAAGCCTTCGTTGTTCACGGGTCCCTGTCTTCGAACGAACCGCTGGCAACGAGTGATTATGTTCTTGACGACAATGCTATCCCGTCATGCGTCTCAGGCTCTGCGAGAGAATCCATTGCATATATTGGAAGGGCCATAGGGACCGTGAAAGCTTTGAAATGGCACAACCAGATACCAAGCTCTCTGTCCTTAAATCATTCGAGGCTGCTTGACACCGTTCTTCCTCAGGATCAGCATGCGTTCGAACGCGTGATCGCTCAAATTCGAGCAGATATTAGTGAATGGCTTTGGTCGAATGTGCTCACGATGCACGACGTAGAAGATGCTGTGGATTCCTTGTGAGTTTGTCCTCGTAGTTTATCCCGGTGGCTTTCTTAATTACTTGTAGAGCAAATTACTTTCTTCTCCAGAATGGCGAATTTAGTCTTTCTCTTATCAGAGAGATTGACAGACTAAAGCAATCGAGGCTCACAGCCCGCTCAGGACCGAGCACAATTATCCGCGAGCAGGATTTGCATCTCGCTCTTCTCCGTGCATCGCTTGGCACGACAGCCCAGTATGACCCGAATCTTTCTCGCCTTCGCTTCCAGCTGCCTACAGGGCCGGTTCGTCCACTTCTACCGTCATACGCCGAACACAGTGTGCCAACACTTTCATCTTCGCGCAACGTTACCGAGCAGACAAGGTTCGACGACATCTTACTGGGAACACCTCTAAAAATGACCTATGGGATATCGTGGCCTTTGGATCTGTTCCTTCATACGTCAGATCTCACGACATATGCAGATTTGTTCTCTTTCCTATCCTCCTTGCGTCATGTTCACACTCGGATTCATACATGTTGGACTTCGTTGTCGAACGCACAGCGCGCGAGACGTCGCTGGACTGGACTTGATGAAGGTGGGACAGCAGATTTGGAAGCACGTAAAGAGCTTCTACGATGCGGTTGGGGGGTCGTAAGACTCATGGGCTGGTTTATGGATGTGCTTCTCGGTTATATGATGATCGATGTCGTCGAGACTGAGTTCCAAAGACTCAAGGCTCTCCTCAAGTCAAAAGAAACGACTGCTAGGAGCAGGAGTTCTAGCATGCTTCATCCTTCAAGTTCCGTAGCATCGCAGAACATCACTGCATCGGCGTCGAAGGATAGCATAGGCTCTACTTCTTCCCAGAACCTTGACTTCACAACATTACGCATTTTGCATACGACAT